GTACCTCAAACACTCAACAGTGTTTGTGAAGCAAGATAAGTTAAAATTAAAATGATGCAACTGAGTGATCACTGCGTGTGCTGGAATAACTTTTCCCAGCCCGCGTTCCGCAGAGTTACGAGGATGCATTTGTCGCACTAGTTGCGAAGAGCTCTAACTTTGCGCAGGCACGGTGGTGTTTATATTGAGTAAATGAAACACATACGCCCTCTCTTTTTTTCGCACAACCTTTACAATATTATTATTCAAATATCTCCCACAGTAATCACATTTCCTCATTTGTCTCTTTTTTCAAGTAATTATTTAAACATTGTGCATCTGTTATATCTTTTAATAAGGGGCGTTTTTAAATTTATTACATCTTATATTTAATATTTTTTTTTAAATATATGCAATGTAAATTTTTTACCTGTCTTGAAATATAATTATATAATTGCAAATGTCTGATCTTTTACAAGTGATGTAACTGAAGCAATAAATAAAACTGACGTGATGCCTTGACACTCCCAAAATGTCTTTTTCTAAATAACTGTAGAAAGCCAAAAGCCTTCACTCAATGCCTCATAAGCTTCACGTTATCTCAAAAAACAAACACGAAGTTATTCTGAGAATTCAGTACTTCCTGCTCTTCCTCTGACGCAAGGGGTGGTAGGCCAATTCCATTCATAGAAATAGCCACCCCTCGCTAATGAAGTGCAAGTGATTGAACAGTGTAGGTGATTTATTGACTGTTGGTGGTTTTGCATTGCCTCGAGTGGAGGAGACCGCACAACAGGCGCACTATACCCCTCACCCCGATCGAATCAATAGCCCCCGATGCCGAGCGGGCCCCCAATCACCTGCCCGCAAGCAGCTTAGCGAATTCACTTCCACCCCACTGCCGTTTATTTGCATTGATGGATGTTTTGATCGCGGGACAACATGAAGACAGTTTTCAAACATGAAACGTTGCGTTTTTCCGCTCGGGTTGCAGACTACCTGCGATAGAATTGGCAAATGCAAATTTTTGCTGAAGGTTGAACACAGAATATACAATACAAATGTACACTAAATAGATCATCTCTAATTATTTCATATTACGTTATTTAATAATATTAATAAACTGACTCGCGTGTATTAGAACGGAAGGAAGATTGCATGCATTATTTATTAACCAATTGCTAAAACATTGTTTCAATATGATGTTTCTGATTGCAAATGACATTCTTTACATCAGTGTGAGTTCGCTCTTCGCCTACCTCTTCTGCCGTCCTCACCCTGTGCACAAAGTTCTGCTCGGATCGCTGCACTCTTTTCCTTTAACCTTCGAACCCAACCACCTGTACCTTTTCTTCTAAAGCATCAATGTGAACGAACTGTTAGCTACTAGTGCTTCACTCTGACTGTTCTTCTGTTGGTGACGTCTCTTCTCGTGGTGACTTATTTATGTTCCCTGCGACAAATCTTTTTTCCTTTCGCATTTTTTTTCGTATTTTCCCCATCCGTCGTTTTCTCTTTCCCTTGTTCTTTCTCCTCCTATTCCTCGTTTTCTCTTACCAACCTTATCTCTTCTACATATACAGAAAAGTCTCTCCGCACCGAGCTTCCTATTAAAAATTGCATTTAGTTTGTAGCAACCCGATCACTGGGAAACAAGTAAAGATTTCAACCCTTTCAGTATTTTTTATGACTGTGGTAAGTAAGCAATTTGTGTTTTGAAGCTGCAACTTGAACTTCCAACATAAGTTCTGTTGCAAGCACTCTCACCATCAAAGTGCCACTGCAGAGAGACTTTCCTGAGGCAGTATACTAAAATGATCTATCAGAGTCACCGAACTATTTATTTCTAGTGCTATCCTCTTTTCTTCCTTTCTCTTGTTCACCTCAGTTGCTTCTTTACATATTCCAGCGTCCTCTCCTCGCATTCCTTCCCTTTCCTAAGGTAGTGTTGAATGAGTTACTCTCTTCCTCGCCTACTATCTTCGTCGGTTTGCCTACGCTTCAGCGTGCGTTTCCGCTCCTGCCCCTCTTCCTGGCTGTCGTGCCCGCTTCGCGGAGCGCCGACAGTTGCAGGTCGCGCGGCGCGGGGGTCCGCCGCCCGCGGCCAACCGCCCGGGGCGTCCGGGGGCGGACGCGCACAATGCGGCGGGTACCTGCGGCGGCGGCGGCAACGGCGGCGGCGGCGGGCCGGAGGCGAGGCGCTCGCCGGCTCGCACTGTCTTCGGTAGCGGCCAAGGAGGGCGCGTATTCAGCGCCACATGCAGATGAGGTCGGGGGACGGGGGGCGGACGCCCCCGGAGGCTCCGGACAAAGCCCCCGGAGCCGGAGGCGGCGGCGGCGGCGTCGTGCCGGCCCGCGCGCCGAGACGCGGGCCAGGCCGTGCCCTGCCGCACCGCGCCGTGCCGCGCGCGCAAGAACAAAACGCAACAGGGGGCGGGCCACGAAACAAAAAACACGTTTGTATAAAAACCGGCCGCCGCCATTAGGGAGGGGGGGGTATCCGGGCGCGCCGCCGCCACCGCCGCCGCCGCCGCTGTGGGGGCCGCCGGGAGGCGCGCGCGCATTCGCGTGGCTTTTTGCGCTCGTGCTGGACGCCCGGGATCGACGCCGGACGCGGACAGGCGTGGCGCGGTGCGACGCGATGCGGCGCGGAGAGGAGCTGCGCTCGGCGTCGAGGAGGATGGCGGAGGCGGAGGCGGAGGCGGCGGCGAAGGCGGCTTCCTTCCGAGGTACGACGCATGCGCGGTGTGCACCCCGCGCTCCACATTCGGCCAGCCGGCGCATGTGTGATGGCAATGGTGCGCCTGGAAAGTCTCTCCGCGATGGCATCGGGGGCTAGCAATAGAAGTCATGTTGGTAGCACGGAATGCAGATTGCAACCCACGAAAACGTAAATTGCGTAGTCACAGCTGTCACATAACAGCTGCTGGACGTGTTGTGCCTTTCGCTTGTTTCTCTGGGATCAGGATGCTACCGACATAAATGCAGTTTTTAATAGAAGCCTCTGATTCGGCTCGGTGCGGAGAGACTTTTCTGGCGCACTGTATAAATGGATTCGGGCGGTGGGAAGATAGGACACGTGAGACACTCGAAGTCTGCTAAACGTAAATGTTAATATCTCGATTTTGGTGACAGTGAGGCTTATCGTTTTACTGCCTCAAGATCTTCGTCTATGTGAACAAAACTGTATTTTGAACAAAACATAATTACTGATTTGGCGAATAGCGGGAGATGTGAATTATCTTGTTGCTGCGGAAAGTCCTTTAAATAGTGGATACAGGGTAATGCAAAATGTACAGGGTAAAAACGTCAGTGGTTGAAATTACATTTGAATGTCCATAATTCGGGTTAAAAGACCTTACCCTCTCCGGACTATTAAATTCTCTGGATATTTAAAATATACCAATAAAACGACATAACCTAAAAAATACTTTATAAAATTGTTCTTGTTTTACTATGATGTTTGCAGAAGTGGAAAAGTATAAATTAAATCTTTAATGTTGTAAATATTGTTTTTTTTAATTTCGGACAAAAATACTGTACATTATGCAAAATATTGTATGCTTAGAGAAATATTTTATGTAAAGAATATTTATTCCTACAACAAAATATGTTTAGTATGTTCAGTAAATAGGTCTACAGTAATAAAATACTTAATCTACTGTAAAACATACATTATTTGAGCTTTTAGTCATGTTGACACTTTTAAAATGTCCAAACATGAAGAAATAATTTCAGTCATTTTCCCCCAAACAACCCACATTCGCGTTATCGGCGTTCCCGATGTTTGACTTCCAAATTATTCACGCTGTACTGAATCTGCACTCGAATAGATACGATTGGGGCCACTATCCTATAAATTCACTCCACTTTGTGTGCCAATCAGTTATTCTAAAATAATTATTGTAGAACTAACGAAGATAATTTAATACTTTCACTAATATCTGGTAGTTAAATATTTAGTTCTTAATATTTAAACTGTCTTTGTGGACCTTTTGGCATATTCTATTTAGGCGTATTACACTTTTACATATAACAACGTGCGCTATGGTCCGGAAGATCGAAATCATTAAGGCAGTAGTGCCGTACCGATTTCGAACAGAAGGATCGCGGGTTCGAGTCCCGCCTCGGGCATGGTGGTATTAGTGTGTGTCCTTTCACCCCCTCACCATATCATGTCATCTTAAAAATTACCATACTGTTAAGTGAAATAGCGGTCGCTGACGACCTAGATGTTAATGCGGCCGTAAATAATGACAACAACAACGACAACAACAAAACCAAAAAAACCTGCGCTCTGATTTTATCTGTTTACTACGTCGTCTGCATGTTTTCAGAATTGATTGAAAAACTGTCACAACTGTATCTTAAGTTTTGATTGCATGTAAACTATAACATTGTAGGCTTACTATGCTACCAAATTGCTCTATATGACATTTCACATTTTTGTCTAATACGTGGCAGTCGTATCCTTTCACATCCTTATGGGTGTAATGTAACAAAATGTTAACTGCGTTCATTTTCGTTGGCAGAACCACGGTATTTATTTCAAAGATATGATCATTAATAATGGTTTAATATATATTTAATTACTTTCTAAACGATAAGAGATTTGCCTCGAACCACATGTTGAAAATATTATACAAATATTCCCGTAGTGGTGATATGAGTTGCAGTAATTGTATTCATTTCTAATTAAATAATTGAGATTCGTTCGTGTTAAATATTGTATGTGCTATCAAAACATTGCCATTTGGGGCTATCTTATTATGTAATTAAAATTACTCATATGTGTCTTGCATCTTTGTGCAAAGTATGTGTCTTGCATATGAAAATACACAAATATAGTCGGGCATTTCTTAATTTTAAGTGTGTTGAATTATTATTAAGATGCTTTATAAATAACGAATTTGCAGCACAATTAATGTCATTCACTCGTTTCCACGTCACGCTTTTGTGCTCTTATGTCACGATATCTTGGCTTGAGGGATAGAATTTGATGTGTTTTGGAACTTGCGTAGCTCGATGCGCGAAAGGCGAAGTCCGCGTATCTACAGCAGACATCGATAACGGGAGAAGGAAGATGATGGCAGTACACGTGAAGGCAACGGAAAGACAGCTTTAATGGTGGAGAAGGCAGTGAAATTCCGTCCAGGAGCCAGAAACCATGAAAGGAACAAATCAAAACGCACAAACTTTTGAGAGTAAGTATTCTTAATAACGGTGCTGTGACATCGTTGCTTGTCATTGGACGGTCATTCCGGTTTGTACATGATTTTGGTCTCAAGGATTTGGAAAATGAGACGAACTGTTTCGTTAATTGTCTTATTTCCTTCTATTTTTTGCCAAATTTTGCGCATAATTGAGAGGAGCAGATATGTTCTTTAGTCGGCTTTAGACCTTAGCGTACGTCGGACCCTACATAAGAAAAGAAAGGGAAGGGAACACTCACTATTTGATGATTGGCAAATGCGAAATACTTGGTTTAATATGACATCTCTTGGTTTAGTCAAATTTATTTGAAAGATAAATGCACTCCCAGAAATCCTTTCTATCAGTTTCTTTCGCGCAATACTTAATGTCAGATACAGAAAGATGTTGACAATGTATTCAATGTAGGCGTCTGTAAATTTATAAATTACACAGTAAACAGTGATTTTGCTAAATAGCTAAATGCAGAAGTTTATTATGTACTTTGCCACGCTCAAACCGAACACAACCACAAAAATTGCCCTTCAGGGTCAGTTTTCCGTAATTACACATTCACTAAACAATGTATGGTACTGTAAATTCCACTCAAAATATGAAATAGATGCCAGACCGGTCAAGTAAGTTAAGCAACTTCGGGCATTGCAAAGGGAATTGCAGTGATCCATGTAAATGACGTGCCGATCCAAAGGCGATATGTTACTTCATTAATAAAAAAGGCATATGAATTCTATGACGGGTGTGAAATCGCTGATCAGAACTAATCGTGGGCCCTTCATATTTGCTGTGTGTGTTACGTAACATTATTTTAATCCTAAGAAATGAAGGTAGGTTCCTCTAAACTCAGTTTCAAAGCCGGGCTTATTCATATCAAAAATAAGGAACTATTCCTCTTGCCTATGCAGCCCAAATGAAGGCGAATGATGACGTATGATATCATGAAGCTTTTGTTATTTAAGATATAATACCATCAGTATTCATGACATATATACGGTGATTTGAAAGTTATCTCTCCTTTGTTAGGACTCCCACAAGGATATTATAATTTTTCCATGTGAGATTCTTTGCGATATTCCGATAGCGGAGATCACAAAAATCATTTTGTTAAAAAGCACAGGCCTTAGCGACATCTGATTCCTGAGCAAAAATGTAACCCTTTGTAATGCTGCACACGCATCTCTTCCTCACTAGCACACCAAACACAGATTGATGAAAAAGCTGTAAATGTGATAGATAAAACTGGGCCAGGTTTCCTGTACTTAAAGAACAAATTCCTGAGAATCAGTGAGGCGAAAATAAAGATAGGCATATCTGTAGGATCACAAATGAAGGAACAAATGAGAGATCATGACTTTGAGGCATATTTGAATAGTGTTGAAAAGGCTGCATGAATGTCGCTTCAAAATATCATAATGGAATTATTTGGAAATAGAAAAGCTGAGATGGATGAATAAATAGTGTCGGAACTAATTCACAATTAAACATGAATGAATGTAACATTACTATTAATTTTCTGCATTGTCACTTACATTTCTTTCCTGGAAATCTCGGTGCTGTGAGCGACAAACACGGTGACCGATTGCATCAAGACATTGCGATAATGAAAATACATTATAGTGCTTGCAGACTATTGCTAGGCACTAAAATATGATACAGCTACTCAAAGGAAATTAAGTTAATAATCGTTCACAATTACACTTTGAGATTATTACATGAAAGTAAAGTGAAGAAAGCCAATAATTTAATAACAGTATGTACTTTTTAATTGTCTATTACGAAGAAAACAAATTTTGAAGCAATTTTTGGGAAAATATCCGTTTAAAAATTGTCAATATATCACACAAAAATTGCGAAAAAATTACTCAAGTTTTCGAAAAATGTACTTGACATTTCAAGATAGGTCTTTGAAGAACAAATTTTATTAAAGAAAAAATACCTATTTTGTATATTGTAAATGTTGGAAAACGCGTTGGAAAAGAGGTTGAACTTTTCATTTTTCAACAAAATCAGGAACTTGAACGAAATTGAGACTAACGACATTCTTTGAAGCGCCCTTTACGATATCTGATCAAAAACTTCAGAAATTTAATAAAAAAAAACTTCAGAGTCATTTAAAACAAATGTAAATCTATTTGATGATTTATTTAAAGTTCTCCCAAAATAAAAATATCCTATCGAGAAAATCGTTTTTAACGGTTTAAGGGCTAGGGTTGACCGTAGACAGACGCAGGAACAAACTATTTTGCCTTCAGTCAATTTTTTGGATCAATCATCCGCAAAACATCGATTATGAAAACCAAATATTTTAATGGAAGTCATGTACTAGATAAAAGAGTAATATTTATCTACTTTTTCGTTACCTGGGCTCAAGAATAAGCTCAGCATTTTTCTGGCGCTCGATTACAATATTTTCTCTTCTTACGAAGTAGGGCTAGAAGGTAAAATTTCATTAAATACCACAATTATTATTGTATTAAAATATAACATGATCCTACTTTTCCTCCAATACCATTGATGTGAAAAAATACATTCTGTTCTAAAAAAAACTTAAAAACATTTTACAGCAGAACTTTAATTGAACGCTTTGTGTGTCCCATGTTAAATTTTAAAGGTTATATCTTATTGCTCAGATAAAATATTTTAACTATCTCAAATTTTGTTGTTTACTAAGTTTTTATATTATACGATATATGAAGGAAGAAAAAAGGAAAAATATATTTTTAATATTCCATGTAATTATCAAAATCTGTCGAGAAGTTACATGAATATAATAAGAATACCAGGTTCTCATCTGATGGCTATCGAAATAAAATTGAATCCTAAAAAATAAAAATGAATGTATCAAAACAGATCTAATTTTGTAATTGTATTCCAATTGAAGATAATGATATGGTGATGGAAGATATTAAAGGGGGGGTGTACAAATAAAGGAGACGTCTATTCGTGAAACAGATTGTGGGCAGTGACAATGTTTAATTTTAAAACTTCAGGTATTTTTCAGGTTTTAATATGTATGAATGAGTGCTGATATTCTCTTATTTCTTTAAATATTTTCGATCAACATTATACCCATAAAGGGGATATTATTTTGAAGACACATGGATCGTTCGAATATATATACAATTTTTTTTTCTCAAATATTTTGAGAAACTACTTATAAAATCTTAAATGGAATAGAAGATTTAAGCATATGATTAAAAGCGAACTCCAATGAAAATCGAAATGAATCATTTAGCAGCTATAGTCTTAAACGAGTAGTCCATCTTAGTAGCCTAAGAACTGAATGCACATACACAGAGGGTTCGGGTCCCCAGATTGCACATGCGAGCGTTCGCTAAAACTGAATCGTTCGACAAAAGGAACCGTGTAAATCAGATCTCAGTGTCCGCGCGCTATGTTACAGCGTATCATTTCTAGAAAACTAAAAATTGTATTATTCTTTGCCAATTCGAATCAGTCGGTTTAAATTCATTGTCATATTAAGCTAAGATAGTATATTTTGCGCTCTTTGCTTTTATTAATCTGTACAATTAATAATATGAATTAACCAAAAAATGAGTAAAATAACAGAAACGATGATAATTTTAATAGTATTAATAATGATAATGATAATGATAATGATGTCAAGGAGTCATAGAAACGACTTAAATACAAGAGATTAAAAATTGAGATCAGCCTAATGTGGGGATAAAACACAGGCCGTCTCGTTAATTATCTGCGCTCTGGGATTTGTTCCGCAAAATGTCTGTAAAAACGTTCTTAAATTCTATCTCATTCTAAGAACTGGGAAGTTCAATACGTGGTTTTATAGGGAACTGTCCACATTTTGTACAAAGTACAAATGTTGTCCGTATTGTAGAGACCCCGGCAATCCCTAGATCTGCTTCTTAGGAAGCTCTTTGCAACCTGGAGTAGATTTTATATTCTAGCTATTCATAGAATATTTACTTGTGAATTACAGGAGTATTAATAACGATAAAATGTGGATTGGGGCCTGGATCACGTGAACTAAGAGTAAAATAAAACTAAACAATATTTTCTATATTAAAACGTTAATTGTGGCAATAATTGAGGCTCATTGAACTAATAGCTCTCACTAAATCATTTCCTTTAGATAAACTTGTTTGTAATGTCAGACATGGACTGAAAATACACTGAATGTTTGGAAGATACCTATCCTTATCGATAAACTTTGACTTCCATATTTACCGCCAGAGAAATCTTCAACTCTCTTAGAAAAAATTATTCATTACCTCAACCGTTCCCTGCTTGGCAAATACGAAATCGGATTAGGCCAATAAATGTCAGAAGATTTAGAATATACTTAAAGTTCAGTTATATGACTAGAACAACAAAACCAACTCTTGTTTTACGCAAATCCACGGACCCCAGCGTAGCTCGAAGGTTTTTTATTTTACTTTTTATTTGTTTCTCGTTCGACGTGAGGTCTTGTGAGGGATTTTAGTTATACATGCTGAAGTTTCTGGATTTCTATCTATTTCCTTCTGGTATTCCTTGACAGATTGAGCTTAAATTTCTCTCGATCATTTTATTAATTAGTTTTGTCTTAGATGCTATTGAAGTTTACTTTAGAATTTTGGAAATAAACTGTTAGGATTGCCCTGTCGAGCAATAGCAATAGCAATAGAAATGGAAATGGGAACATTCTACACGAAATCGGTAGTTTAGGGAGGTTTAAGCAAATCTTTGGGAAATTTGGATTTGATTTGACTTGGGATGTTTGCTGTTCGGCCTAGATGGAATTGTATGGATGGTATGAGATGATGAGGTAATAATATATTTTTTATATGTTGCATAATAATAGATGGGTTTTTTATACGGGCAGAATAATAGATTTATATAGTAGAATATGTAATTTGGTATTAAGCATTGAGTGCTTATTTATGAACGTGTAAAGTTTTGTTATTTTGGCATAGGGTGTGTTGATTGCGCGATCGAGCCCGCGCTTCTCGGATTTAGAGACTAGAATGCTGAC